CTTGAGTCTCTGAGCTGGCAGAAGTTTGGCCAGCCTCTGATGAGCAAGTGTATGGCTTACCCAGAGCAGAAAGGGAATGCAAAACAAACTCAGCACCGGCCTCCCAGATTTTCTTACCCCATATCATTTAAAACCAAAACACACCCACCCTAACTGTCCTAATAAGAAAGCCCCAAGAGCACTTTGCTAGCCTCATAAAAGTGAAGATCCCCACATCATCTGTGAAGTGGGGTATCCAAACTAGATTCATGGTTGACCCTTAGGTCACTGACTAGGAATCACAGGTAAACATATCCGTATCTAAATGTTGGGAATCCACACATTTAAAAAATGCTATTCAAGTCATTACCCCATGCTGAAGGAAATGTAGTGAAACTTGATTAAAAAGCCTAATTTTCAGCCTCAGTTTCTGCAAGAAGCCATCTATTTTCCCTCTAAACACACACACATTCTGGAAAAATGGCACAGGCACATTTTAAGGTTCAGGCTCAAGTTAAGCCTTTGCTCCTATTACAATGTCTGTAGCAATACAAAAAAAAAAGGAAAACAGCAGATTGCAGCTGCAAGAACACTAAGCAGGGAAGCTTTCACAGCAGCATTAAAAAAAAATCAGTTTGCTGCCACCAACTTTGCACTTGGGCAGTAAGAGAGCACCTGACTCTCATTTGACTACGGTAATCACAGAACAGCTAAAGGCCATTTGTTCTGTAATCTTACACACACAGAAGACAGCAAGTTTGGGAGCCTTGACAGCTCAAGAGATCAGGAACAGAGCCTTCCATCTGTAAGTCACCAGTTCAAACAGAGACAAGAATAGTAGTGATCAAAAGCCACATGTGATGGCTGTTCAGGGATTAGATGAAGAGATGGTTACTCAATCCAGGTCCCAGCAGATCAGTGTGAACCACAAGAGCTTTTCTTCACTATTTTACACCTGGTTTTCAGTCCTAAATCCATTACACCTCCTGGATTCTGTACATGTTAATAAGTAGCAAAGAAACTGATCTGCTGCATACACACACTGAACTGACATTGGAGAAAAGGACTTTACCCTCTGGTTGTCAATGATGTCTGCACTACACCATGCTGATTTTTTTATTATTATAATTATTACTATAGTTTAGACTTTTAGCTTTTCTTATTACTAGAGACAGTTTTCAAAGTAATATTTAACTTCTCATCCCTTTCACACGAGAAGTTAAATATTACCCTCAGATGCTGTAACCCTATTTATAAACAATAGCTCCCAAACTTGATGTGTATTTCTTAAAATATATCAATTTTAAAAGTACATTAGCGTAGGAATTTCAGAACTTTGGCATTTGAGAAATTAACTCTGAGACAATATTATAAAGCTTTTTATCAAACCTAAAAAAACACATTATTTCATAAGTGCCATATCTACATAAAGACAGTGGGAAAAAAATCCCTATGTGAAGAAACAAACATTCCTTTTCATATTATATGTTCTTCAATACATCAGTCTCTGCAAAGTTTGCTAGCAGTAGCTCCTTTCCAGCCTGACTTTAGTTTTAAAAGTCTGCAAAAGTACCTGGAATTTCCAAGCTGGATAAGCAAGATGAAAACAAGTTCAGAGTGTATGTTGACTGAAGGTCCCCAGAGCTTGGGTTCATTGTCCTGCTTCAAACACCACTACCAAAAACAATCTTCTACAGAAGCCTAACAATACACAGTTCATAGCTCTTAGTAGCACATTACTTCCCGATAATGAAATTGCTGATGAAAAGCCAAGATCCTAGAAACCTAGCAGGAAACTTATCCTTAGCTGTAACTAAGGAGGCCCTCATGTACAAAGAATTCAACTTGCTATTCCAGGAGTTTGAAGAGAACAACATACCAGACTGATGAGATTTCAATAATCTTGAACTTTTGAGATTCCTCTTGCTGCTTTCAATCCCAGATGTACTACTGCACTGCAATAATCAGATCTGGAAACAACAAAGGGGTGCATGTGGTAAATACACAGAGGTCTGTTGAGCTGTCTGGCCAGCAGCACAGACACACCAGACAGACACATCCCACTGGATTGTTTTAGCAGCTATCTCAAACCACTCAAAGCTTAGCTGACATGAGATACTATTGAAGTTCCAGCATGTTACATCCCAACTCTTTCTATAAAGGCAAAAATCCCTTAACAGAATAATTTGTCCCTGCCCTGTGGCCTCCTGGCCTGTAAAGCTGGACATTCCTCACAGGTCTCAACTTCTCAGCAGCTGGCATATGGGTTTGCTTTGGGGTGGTTGTTGAGGTTTTTTGGGGGGTGTGTGATTTGGCTGGGTGTTTTTTCTTTTTTTTTTTTTCAATCAGAACATGGAATTGTAGCTTGTACAGCTGCACAACCAAGGTCTCTGGTGACAGAGGGCTGCATCACTTGTTTCAGTTAAAGTCCTTGAAAAAGGATCCAGACATTTTAAAACACACTTCCTTGACATCAGGTATCTCTTGGGTGGAGCAAAAATAAGTATATTACAGTTTCCATCTAATTCAGCATAGTCCAAGTGCATTTATACATAAACTATAATAATCTTTGTGGGTCAAATGATGTATCTTGAATGCAAGTCACAGCCCATTCAGTATTTAAAGAAAAAAAGTGCATAGCAATTAACTGCTAAGGAAATGGAGCCAGAAGTTTGTATACTTCCAATTTTCTCAGAAATCAGACTGATTAATACAGCTGTTACAAAATGACACACTTTCACAGAAACAGGGATTACCTTTATCTGTAACCATAGCAACTTTTCAGTAGTTTGTGTTAATGTTACTCTCCCTCTGATAACTTGCCACTATCTCTCCCAAGCTATTTGTGTAAGGTTTTGAATGTGCCATCTCAGACCATGAAGTAACAAGAACTTGAAATGTAAACTTGCATTCTTCAATCACACTCCTGTAAGTATATACTGTCATATACAATGTTGTCAATTTTTGCCATAAATTCATGATTAGTCAAGAAGTTAAATAGTAACAGATTAAAATAAATTTAACATGATTCACAGGTTTTTAAGACAAACATTTTAAGAGGTATTGTATGAAATATATACAGGAGACAGTTTTCCCACTTCTTCTCTATCTGCAAAGTAATAAACACAAGGAATTATGCCACTGACATGTAAGAGACTTTGTAATTCAGTACCATAAGGAACAAAAAATCCTCCCATTATACATTTATTTTGGCCTGAACAAATACAAGACAGATCAGAAAAGAGCCAGTCCCCTTGTTCTGTGTTAGGTGATAGCAAAGAACTGGTGTAGGTACCTCAGCACTACAAAAACAAACCAGATAAAATTCAAAGAGTAAAGCTGTAAAAGTTAGAGGACAGACAAGAGACAAAGGAATGAACTGACATATTTACTTCCTCAGTTGTTGACTTACCACCATCCACAGCTCAGAGAAAGATTAGCACTCTGTACAAAAAATTATTTAAGACGACACAAGACAAACAAAAACATTTACTTGAAAGGAGGAGGAAAAAAGAGAATATTTTTTTTTTTCACTGAAGTTCACCGGGCAGCTTACCAAGCTGTGCCCTTCTCTTTTCAGTGTAGAGTTTGGCACAGTTAAGATGTGAGCACAGAACCTTAGAAGAGTGAAAGAAACTCGGCACACTCTCTGCCCCCTGTAACTCTTATGCAATGACACCTATTATAGGACAAGCCTGGACAAACACTCGGGAATGGACTTCAGAACACAACGGCGCACTTGAAGTCAGCCCATGCAGGGGGTGAAGTAACCACCACGGTTTTGCTGAATGCCTCCACATTACACCAGCACATATGGTGGAAGCTTCTGTATTTCGTTGTTGCTGCTGTTGTTATTAGCACTAAGGTAACTGCCCTTTTTATTTTCTAAGGTTACCCAATCCTAACATCCTGTGGAAACACGAGTGGATGTTCACACCCTTTATCTATCACTCCAGGCTTTTGGCAAAGCCCAGAAGGCAAACTGGGTTAAATCCCACAGGCTTCTTGAGCGAACACCCAAACAACAACAATAACTTCTCATAAAGCAAAACGCCAAAGTACGACAGACTTTACAAGCCTTAACCCCTGGTTTAACCACAAGAGCGGCACAACACGGAGTGCATGGCACCCTGTCCCCACAGCAGCCAAGCTGGCTGCGCTGGGCTCCCCCGGGGGGCGGCGGGCCCGGGGCGGGCCGGGCCGGGGGAGCCCCGGGCCGGGCGGGCACCGCCGCCGGTTCCGTGCGGGGCCGGGGCCGGGCCCGGCCGGCGCAGCGCTGGCGGAGGGCCGGCTCTGCCTCTCCCTCCCACCCAAGGACACGAGTACAAACACCTCTGCCCCGGGATGGCTCCTGCGCACGCAGCCGCCCGCCGGGGGTGGGGAGAGGAGGACGGAACCACCAAAAAAGGCAGAGAAAGCGCCGCGGGCCCCGCGCCCGCCGTCGCCCCGCAGACCCTCGCCCGCTGCGTACGGGGCTCGGGGGTACGAAGGGGGAACCCTCCCCGCAGCCCCTCCGCCGCTGCCGGGGCCAGTGGGCGGGCGGCCGCCGTCCCCCCGGCGCGGCGCGGTGCGGGGCCGGGCCGCAGCCCCGGCGCGGCCGCCCCCGGCCCGCCGCGCTGCCTCACCTGCGCCGGGCCCGCCGCGCCCGCCGGCCCCGCTCGCTCCGCACCAAACTTTTTTTTCCCCTTTCTCCGTGTTTCGTTGCCCTCGGAGTGACGCGGGCGGGCGCTGATTGGCGGAGCCCGGGCAGGGAGGCCGCGGGGAGCGGGAGGCGGCGCTACGGCCCGCGAGTAATTATGGCACGGCGACGGCGGCGACGTGAACCAGAGAATGCTATTTAAAGGGACAGCGGCCCGCCCGCAGCGGTGACCTGAGGCGAACGCGGCGGCGGCGGGGCGAGCGGGCAGCGGCCGCCCTCCTGCCCCACAAATAAACTCATTTTGCGTTAAAATACCCATGAAGGCCCCTGCTGCCGCTCCCTCTGCCCTTCGGGTCCCTGAAGGGGAAGGTCTCTCCTGGCGGGGTTCCCGGCGCTGTGGGCTCGGTCCTCAGGCCCCTCGCCCTGTGGGAAGGCAGCGGTGGCCTTGGAGTCTCTTAACTATGATGTCACCTGCTTGTGTTTTCTTCTCTCCTTGTGGAGCTTTGAGACAATCCACTACAGCTTCTTTACATGCACACCATTTCCATCTCACACCCGATACATAAAGATATATTTTGCTTTTTTTTTTTTTTTAATACACTTTCCCCATTTGTCACAGCCCATATCATGCAGGGAGGTTTTAAGGTGAGATTTAAGGACGATGAGTGGCTTGATGCAGATATGGAGTACAGGATTCCAGGGACATGGAACAAGCCAAATAAAAGGAGAATTTTATCTGTGTTAGGAGAGAGGAATGGGCCAAGGCTAGAGTAGCTGGCAGGAGGTGAGTGGAGTTTGCAGAGTTTTGGAGGAGGGAAGGCAGAGGGTGCAGTCATGCAGCCAGAGAAGCTGAGGCTAGGTAAAACATGTTCCCATTTCATACAATCACTGAATATACTGAGCTGGAATGGAAACCATCAGGATCATGGACTTCCTAGAGGTACTGCAAAGAGATTTGGGGTCTTCTTTTGAGCAGACCAGCATTGCAAGGGGACACATAAATATTTCAGTAAAGATAAAATCTAAGCAGAGGCTTCTCATTGCTAGGAGCTTGCTATCACTCATGTTGAGAGCTGAGTAAGTAGAGCCATAAACATGGAAAAAGCACTAAAAGGGAAGAAAACACCTTATTTGTTTGTTTGTTTTGAATATCAGAGCTTGGATCAACACTAGAAAATGCTGGTGCAACCAGCATGGAAGTGCTAGCATAGCTTTACAGCTATTTTGGTAGAGATTATTCAGTCTTGGCTGTCTTTGCTGATGCAATCCGTTTTCCAAATGCCAGGTTGCATGAGCATAAGATGACCTGCATTGCATGTGGGTATCACAGCATTCACCACAACATTATTTGGAGCACTTTCATGGTCTTGGCAGTAATCATAAGGAGCTGCAGGGAGTGATGATTGCATTCCTCCCAGCCTCTCCATGATCATCTCTTTTTAAAATGATTTTTTTAAACCTCGAATTGATTCCCTCTGGTTGTTCTCGGACTGTTTTCTTTGTGTCAAGTTTCATCTCATCATTGGAAATATAAATGCAGAATAGTAGGGCACAACATCCTCAGTGTTCAGGAAAAGGCCAGCTGATTGTTCTGCAGTTGTGAGGGACCAGCACAGCAGCTGGCAGAACAGCAGCGGCAGTACAAGGGAAATGCAAACAGTGAACAAGACACACACCTCCCGCCAGGAGTTACCGACCAGCGACACATGGTGCAACAAATGTTAAGTTGTGGCATCAGATGTCAAGGGGGAGCAGCAGAATGTTCAAATGTGATCTTACTCAAGTTGCAGGTGACGCTTGTCAGTTCTCAAGTGCTGAAAAGAGAAAACTCAGTTTAATGCTGGAGTAAGTGGGGTTTTTGGAGCATTCAGAATCACTATGTCTGGTACAGTCAAAAGCTGCCACAGCTCAGAAGAGGCAAACAACCTCTAGGAAAATAGGGAACACAAAGTTTTATGGCATTTGCATTAAAAAAACCACCGGTAGTCAAGCTGTCTCTGAGGAAGAAAAGTCCCAAACAAGATGGCCAGATTTATTCTTGGGGTAGAATAAAGGATGCATTTTAAAAATTAAATATACGTGTTGTTCCACTGTGAATGGAAAGCATAATATTGAAGTAATAGTGTTCAGTTTTCTCATTTGAGGATCTAGGGACTGATAGGCTAAAAAACCTTGCTGAAGTCATGTAGGCTAATAAGTAAAAGCGAAGTGTATAATGGGAGAAATGGCTTAGATGTTAACCACCCAGAGAAGGGCATTCTTGGCTTTGAAATCAGCTGAAGAAGTCAAAAGTGATTCTGAGCCAGCAGCTGCAAACAGAATCCTGTTTTCTGTGGACCACTGCAGAGAAGGAGCTGGAGGCTTTTGGTCCACCTGAGGTTGATCAGAATAGTTTTTATGTTTAAGAGTGCACAAATGCTCAGTAGGGCACAGCATGGGGAGCCTGATATTCAGTGGGATGTTCTTTAAGGAACAACTTCATTCTACCAGGCATCATTTTGCTTTGACAGAGAAATCCAAAAGAAACTCCAAAAAGTTAGGCAAGGGATACCAGTCCAAGCTGAAACACCCAGGAGAGAGGTGAAAGGTTTCCCAGCTGTGCCAGTGATTTGATGATGTATGGCAAAATGGTGAGTGGTAATCAGTGAACATTACTTCCTCTTCTGTAACGTCACAACTGGAACGGTGTTTATTCTCCTTGACCTACATTACTCAGATCTGCTTTCATATATTAATGCTCTCATCACCTTCATTCCCCAGCACAACTTATTTTCACGGTTTTAAGGACTATCTATTCCTATACCTCTTTAGAAAATATGGGCACAATTTTTCTAAAGAGGTTTCTTCTGATTTTTACTCCCTTCTTCCAAATCCATTTAATCTATCTGCTAACACAAAGGACCTTTTCCTTTGGCTCCTTTTATGTTTGCTTCTGCTATAGTGGCTTGTTATTTCTTTTGCTAAAGATTTAGAAGTCACTAGAGGAATCTTAGTAATGTATTCATTTTGAGGTAGATTTATCTTCAGAGCTGGTAAATGGGAAGTCTCTTCTTCACCTCAGTGGGCTTTGGATCTGGTGTTAAGTGCTATCATCATTTCAGTTCTAATCTTGTTGTTTGGGGCCCAGTGTGCAGTTCCTGACTCTGCTGAGATTTGCACCATAGGTTTATTGAGAGCAGAATCAGCTCCTGCTTCCTGACAGACAGACTATAAAAATACAAAAGAAATAAGCACGAGGTTCTCTTGAACACGTGAATCTTAAATTTTCTTTTATTTGATTCTGAGTCTCACTGGATTTTTTTTTATCCACAGGTACTTTGACCCCCGTTCTAAGTCTTATTCTAACAGGACGAGCTGGAGTTTCAGCTACCCAGGCCTGCTGGAAATTGGGCCCAGCAGTTATTTGGCAGTGGCCTTGATGAGCAGTAATGCCAGCTTTCCATTGCAATGCTCACATTCAGAGATTTGCAGAATTAGAGTCCAAATTCTGCTTGTATTTGCAAGCCCAGAATGCCACTGACTTCAAGGGGGTTGTAGGATTTTAGCCAAGAGCAGAAATTTGCCCAGGATTTTTTCAGACTCCCTCATGCTTCTGTTTATATGATATTACCATCAAGCTCTATTAGCATGCTCCATGATGCATTTTACTTTTAAATTACATAAAGGATATTTACTGTGCTGATGCTACATAGTTTGCAAGAAAGATGCACATGTGGAAATGAAAAAACATCAATTACCATCAGGATTTCCAGCTTTCAGCATTCATTTTCCAAAACAACCCAGGGACTATTTCCCATCAAAAAAAAAAAAAAAGGAGAAGAAATGAAAATCCAGTTTCTTGGCATTTACGTATGGCATTTTGGAGCCTTACTCATCAAGTCTGTTGTAAAAATGGTTGGAATAAAAACCATCATATTGTTCAAAACTTTAATACTCTGCTTTTGTTTTCTGTATAGTGGTTTCCCAATCAGAGACATGAGTCCATCCCTAAAAATAACAAATTGTTTTTCTGCCTCTCAGAAGATAGGAGAAAAAATAATCTGGTGAAAACTGAGTGATCATCAGGGATAATAGGTAAAAGCACAGGTAGAGGTTGAGAATTAATGGATGAAACCTGTGAAAACAGGCAAGTGGGATGCCAGGCATCAGACAATGCCAGTGGAGCCAGGTCCATGCTGCCCTGCCCGCAGGGGTGGCACCGCTTCAGGGCCAGCAGCCCCTGGGTGCCCTTGGAGGTGCTGAAGCCGAGAGCAACCCGGCTGCTCGCTGCCTTTTCCTGCTCAGGGCAGCGCAGGGAGGAGGGATTCCTCCGGGCAGCGATGCTCTGGTTCCAGTCAGAGCCACCGGGCAGCTCAACGTCTTTGGAAATGAGGCAGATTGTGTTGCCACGTGGTTACAAATCTGGGAGCTTCCTTCTAGATAGCCTTGGTTAGAAATCTGGGCTGGGGCTCTTTACAGCCCTAATGACTCCCCACTTAAGCTTTTAATATCCATGTTAAATAGTTCATTGAGCATTCAGGAGAACAGTGTGCTATTGTGGGCTGATGAGTAACTTTAGGCAAAGAAGTTATTTTGTACCTCTGTGCTTTTTCTTCTCCCGCATCTGCTTTGTCTGTGTAGGTACTAAAGTCTTTCAGGGCAGGAGTGGCTCACGCTGTCCATGTCTAGTCATCAACACAGCAACTCCAGTCTCACTGGGAAGCTCTCTGTGCTCCCCAGTCCTGCCCATAACACAACCCTCCAAACACGTCTGTGCTTTGTATATGCTACAGAGTTTGAGTATTAATTACTATTAATTATTATTTAAAATTTGGACTGCTAAATTCTGTAACATTAAAGTAGCCATTTACCATATGGATAAACCCTTCCACAAATGGGTCACTGCACAGAAAGCCTGGAGGCTATCAACTGCTCTGGTGACCAGCTGCTAAATTGTGAGGACACAGGGACCAGAGATGCTCTAACAGGATGGCTTTGGCCTCTGAAAAGTCTCCAGGTACTCAGGAAAGCTGGCCCTACTTGTTTCTGCTCTAGTCCTTGAAATTTAAGGGGAGCAAAGATCAGGGTAGCACTGCTTGATGATCCTTTAATAGCAGGACTCCTTCAGAGACCTTTAAATCCAGCAGAATTTAATGCATCCCTGAAGGTACTCTGAGCCAATTTTTGCTTTTGCAACTTTTTGTTGTCTCCACTGCATGAGTGAAGAGCTCTTAGCTCATACTGTGTCACTGGATTCTTGGATTTAAAGGGTTGTTCTGCATGAATAAACTCAGTGCCTGGACACATCCTGGTGTCTAGAAAGTAAACAATACGCCTGAAGCACCTGTCAAGGATCTAGGTACAAATGTCCCAAATGACAGAAATGTCTGTTGAGCTGTCTTCCCACCTGCTTAGGAATGCCAGGAGCACCAGACTACTCTGGGTTTGGCACTCTTGTTTGTTCTGTTCCTGTCCATCTGACCTTGCTAGCTCAGATAGGCTATTTGTCAATGCCAGAGGAATCTGCTGCAACAACAGAGGGAGTATCTGGTGTCAGTATTCTCCAGCTCCTTGAGGGAACTACCTCATTAGGGAAGCTAAAACATCATTTTGATTGCTTAGAAGCAAACCATTTGTTCTGCAAAACTCTCCAAGCAGTTACTCCTTGTAAAATTATAATGGCTGAAGTCTTTTTCTAAAGCAGTCTTGGATACTTGAATGGCTGGAAATTTGCAGGTGATAAAACGCTTTACAGCAAAGCAGATTTGATCAGTGTTTCCTTAAATTAGACAAATATTCTTCTCTGTCAAAATGTCATTAGATTTTGATAGAGTAAAAAAAAATGTTCTACTGGAGAAAATTATAAAACAGGACATTTCTGTAGCTTCACAGATCCTCAAAACGCATATGAGATTTTGTAGGCTTTCTTTAGGAAATTTGAAGTTGAGGCTTTTAATATACCTACAGCACATATTTTTGTCCCACAATATCCAAGTATGGTGTCATAATCAGCTTTGAGCTCTCTCATTAACTTTGGCAGAGGACATCAAACTGAGATGGGATTACTGCTGTTCTGGTATTCTTCCTCAGAAAAGAAGCCTTTTGGAATATTGATAGCTGAGGCTGCCTTTGGGTTGTACCTTTCATTCAAGGGTTCTGAAGCAATCACAGAAATTCCCAAGTCTTCCCAGACAGAAATTTGGCTCAGCCTTCCTGCATTTCTGCAGTGTACTTCGCTCACTGTATCACATCGGGAGGGACAGAGTCTATCCATCTCTCTCCCCTGTGCTGGCAGTTTCCCAGGGAATTACTAGTGAACACAGGTGACAGACTGTGCTCCTTGCACTCTACACAGGGAGAAGGAAGGTGCAGAGAGGGAGAGGTATCGTGTTCCTGTTCTCCTGGAACAGATGGAAATCTCTTGGGTAGTATCACATTTGAGCAGTTCCTGCACAGCTGTAACCTATGTGAGGACCACAGTGACAGAATCAGAGCAGAGACCTGTCCATCCTTATTCCTACTCTATCCCTGATACATTTTAGAAAAGCTGTTCTGGTTCAGCTGATATACTGTTTAATTTAATTTAATATGAAGAAACTCTGATGCCTGATTCCCTATACTGTCTTTTCATGTCTTGTGCACAGCCCGGGAGATATTAAAAAGCCATACTAGCAACTTACCTGAGTTACACACAGGAAATGCCCAATGGACTTCCTGAGAAAAGTACACACAGAACAAGATTAAGGATTTGGATCACTGACAGGTCTACAGTTGAAGAGCAATAAATCACACGTCTCTTCCAGCTTGCTTCTCTCTGCTTCCTCCTTACTTTTCTACTTCTCCTCTTCTAAATGAAAGGGGACATCTTACAGGCTTGCAAAATCTTCCCTCCTGTGGGAAATGTTAATTATAAGTGTTGCCACAATAAAGAACAAGTTCTGCAGAAAGAGAGCAACACACCACAGTAGAGCACTGCAGTTTTTTTATTTTTTCCTTTTTTCTTAAAAACTCTGGTATTTCTGAAAGTCACAGCTCCTAGAATATAGTGTCCTGCATGTGAAGATATAGTGGGTTTCTATGCAGTTCAGCCATGAAAATGTTGAGGGTGTGTAAGTAATGTAAGGTCTTCATAAAGACTGCCTTGTAAAATCTGCTTTATACTCTGCTTTGTTCTTTTATCTAGCATTCTCCAGAATGTGCTTGGGAATATTTATTTTCCCTCATTTCTTTTCCTTAACTAAGGCAAAATATTTATACACCCCACACCAAGCTCCGAAAGAATAGTGCTTAGTACTGCTGCTGTTCATTTGCTGGCATACCTAATTATACAGCTGAAAATGTCAACATTAAGTTATGTCTGCATGGCAGGCATTGATGTGGCTGTTATGTAACACAGGTGTGCTCAACACACCTTCAGCTGAAGCTCAGGCTGTGCCACCAGCAGCCATCACTGAGCCTGTAAAACCAATCAGAATAATATTCATTGAGTCATAGCCCATGCCAAACTCTGACTTTAACAACATAATAATTGGTAATCAAGCCAGCTTGTGAAGACCTTGTGCAGTGTGTACCCACAGAGCAGTGATCTCAGCTCTGGGTCACACCTCTCCAGGTGGGCACTGGTGGGCCTGGCCACCGAAGGATATGGTTCATCACCCTCCTCTCTCTGCATCTTCCTCTCCCTGAGATGTTTCCACCTGTCTGGTAGGGATTGGAGAAGGGGATGGTGACCTAGTTTATAATTCAGCTGGCCCAGCTCACAGCTTAAAGCAGTGATGGAGATGCATTGGTGCTAAAATGCTGGATTATGAACTGTGGTACAGACACACAACCTTTTGTGCTATTTTATGCTACAATAACGTCTGCAGAAAATACCATGAGAAGCACTGATCATATACAAAACTACTGCTAACTGTGCTGGAGCTGGGCTGCCAGAGCCCATACTACCAGTAGAGAGGATTGGGAGAAACACAAACCATAAACAAGAAAGCTTCCTACTAAGAAAACATCCCAGTTCAAAATCAATATTAAGTCTTGAGTAAATCAGAGAAAGCAGAGTAATAAGTAAAACAGGAAATAATAAACATTAAAGACGTATGTGTTAGTCCATCCCTAACAAAAAGTTACTCCTCTGCGATGTTCTTCTGAGTGTTACAACAGATCTTTTGTATGATCTCGGGCAAAATTCATAATTTCTCTCTGCCATGATGTTAGATAATACTTCTCTATTTTATAATCCCTCATGTTGTGAGTTGCTGAGTGTCAAAGAGTGCTCATTATGTAGGATTATATCAGGTCCTGAAGAAGAGAGAGGACCTGCAGAAGGCAAATAAAGATGGGATGAGTTTAGTTGTCCTTGAAGTCATCAGGAGCTGAGGGCATGGCAGATGTGTTCTCCTGCTCCGTCTCTTGCTAAGGAAGCATTTCTCTAACCAGCATCCAGAGAGCAGATCTAGCATAGGGGCAAGTATTTACACTCACAATTCTCAGGGGACAGCTTGATTAACTGCCAAAAAATGTGGTTTGATTTCTCATTGACACCACTTGTAGAAAATACTTCACTGGAGTCAGGACTGATTCTGACCCTGAAGAATGAGCTTCTGGTAAGGTCTTGAGAAATGTCTGAGTGTATGTCTGGAGGAAGGCAATGGTGGGTGTTAGCAGGTGACTGGGCATGTTACCCCTTACAGTGTTACAGATATTAAATTGAGTAAGAGACAATAGGAAACACTGCAGAGTGACAGCATTTGGGAAGACATCAGTACTTGGAATTCATCTGATGGATAAATCAAGTGATTTTTTTATGACTTTATTTTATGCCTTTCAAAATTATTTCCACCTGTTAGCAGTGTAATAACAGTGAGGAGATGAGAACAAACCTCATTGGCCATTTCTGTGC